AAATAACAATTGTGTTAATTATTTAATTAAAATGTAATCTCTGAACAATGGCTTTTGCATGTAACACACAGAGAGAGGGAGAGCGAGAGAAAGAGAGTGGGGGATGAGAAATAATCCCTCTCTCTTTAAATTTGATAACATTTTTATAACCTCCACCATACTATGGAGGGTATATTCACTTTGTCATTCCGTTTGTAACTCCTCCAAATACTCATGTCGGACCCAACAAAGTACAGATCAGCCTAAAATTCTAAGTCGATTTAGCAATGTCCGTCTGTCTGTCCGTCCGTCTGTTGTAATCACGCTATCTTTCGAACGAATTGAGATAGAAGGCTAACATTTTGCACACATGTTTATTTTGCCAGTAAGCAGTTCGTAAATGGGCCATGTAGGTCCACATTTTCATATAGCCCCCATATAACGGTACCTCCCGATATTCGGTATTTTGATGATTTTATCGACATTATTCACGGAATTGTTTCAAATTTGGCATTTTAAGTTCGAAATGGATATTACAGCCTAAGACAAAAAGTTGTCTGTGCAGGTCCATGTCTTCGTATAGCCACCATATAACGGTACCTCCCAATATTCGGTATTTTGATGATTTCAGCGTCATTATTCACCAGAATTGTATCAAATTACGTTTTTAGATTTCGTAATGGGAACTACAGTCTGTGACAGAAAATTGTCTATGCAGGTCCAGGTCTTCGTATAGCCCCCATATAACGGTACCTCCCGATATTCGGTATTTTGATGATTTTAGCGACATTATTCACGGGAATTGTTTCAAATTTGGCATTTAAGTTCGAAATGGATACTATAGCCTAAGATGTCTGTGCAGGTCTACGTCTTCGTATAGCCACCATATAACAATACCTCCCAATATTCGGTATTTTGCTGATTTTAGTGACATTATTCATCGGAATTGTTTCAAATTATGTATTTAGAGTTCGTAATGGGAACTACAGTCTGTGACAGAAAATTGTCTATGCAGGTCCAGGTCTTCGATAGGCCCCATATATCAGTACCTTCCTATATTCGGTATTTTGACGATTTTAGGTACAATATTCACCGAAATTGTTTGAGATGTCGTATTTGAAGTTCGTAAAGGATGCTATAGCCTGTGACAGAAAATTGTCTATGCTGGTCCAGGTCATCGCACAGCTCCGATATAACGGTACCTTCTTATATACGATATTTTGGTGATTTTAACTACATTATTGACCGTTTATTTCAAGTTTCGAATTTGAATATGGTAATGACTTATGACAAACAAGGCCCATGTAGGTCCACATCGTATAGGCCCTAATATAACTACCATCTTCAGTATTTTTTAAAATTGTAACAGAATTTTTTTAAGAATTTTATTTTTTGAAAATTTCCAAATTCGTTTCAAATGGTGGAGGATATTCAAAGTTCGGCCCGGCCGAACTTATTGCTTTTTAACTTGTTAATATTTTCCATTGGATTTTTCTGTTCTTGCTGTTGCTGTTGTTGTTGCATTTTTGTGTTGAAATGCTTTAATGACATAAATGAATTATGTCAATCATTCCCAAATGGATCTGGTGGCTTTGGGCAATTGTATCGATGTGTTAGTGTTATTGTTGTTGCCTGTCGTTGTTGCTGTTGTCGTATTTCGTATGGCTGGCTGCAAACAAATGAATTGATATCCTTTCTGTTGTCCGTTTCATGACCTTGTTTCATTAATCAATTGTTAAATGATTTGCCTCGCTGCCTGCCTGCCTGTCCCGCATTATGATTGCCATCCGAGCGAGCAGAGCAGAACAAGCCAAGCAAGCAATTCAACCTTTTGTCTCTTTCAAATGGTTTGTTGTTCTAATGAATGACTGCTCGTCGGCATGGCATTGAAATCTGTGCGATAATGAAACAGAAATTTGTTAGAAAATAACGATTTTTTTTGGGTTAAAGTTATGGGACAAAAGATAATTCGTAAGGCCATAATAGATGGCCTGGGAGATGACGGGTGGATGGATTTGCCAAAAAGAAAAAGGAAAGAGATTTGTTAGAATTTCGACCATAAAGCTCATGGATATTTCCTAGGCGATTGTTGAGGATAAATATTATTTTGAAAGATTTCGAAATTACAAATATTTAAACCAGTAAAGAAAGTCTTAAAGTTGAACGGGGGAAATTTGTGAACTAATGGGGAATTTGTGAACTAAATCATATCAACTTTGATTCTAGGTCTAATTTAAGGTCCAAAGAAACTAATATATGAAGGGAAGATCCTCCCCTGAATCGATTTCTACTAAATTTGCCGAGTCATTTGTGCCTTTTCAATTGGGGCTTGTGTTACCCATTTGGCGCACAATTAACTTGAAATCAGATAAATATATATATCCAATAAAAATCCAATAAAATGAGATTTGAAGAAAATTGGACGGTTTTTTGAATCCTTTTTTAGGGAGGTAGATCTTGTATTAATAATGCTTGTTTCAGATTTTATGATCGTTTTGGTTATTGAAAATGTCGTTTTGTGGAGGAGGTACCAGAAGTAATGGTCCGATCTCCACCATCTTTATAACAGATATTGTATTTATATTAATCTTGCGCTGTGCCAAGTTTGAAAATAATCGGAGGCTCATATGGCGTTTTATGAGTTTCATAGTTATTCAAAATTTTGATCACTTTGTGGGGAAGGTACCAGAAGGAGTGGACCGATATATTCGACCTTCTCACCAGATCTTGCGTTAGTAGAAATATTGGGATGTGTAAAATTTGAAGGGAATCCGATGCTTAATTCGCAAATTATAAGAGATATAATTTTCAAAATTTTGACCCTTTGTGGGGGAGGTACCAGAAGGAGTGGACCAATATATCCTATCTTCACTCCTAATTATTTGTTGATAGAAATATTAAGATGTGTAAAATTTAAAGGCAATCAGATGCATATATGGCATTATATAAGAGTTATAATTATTCCAAATTTTGACCCTTTATGGGGGAGGTACTTGATGGAGTTGGTCAATATATCCCATCTTCACACCAGATCTTGCTTTGGTAGAAATATTCCGACTTGCCTAGTTTGAATGGAAACGAATGTACATTTCGCGTTTTATGAGCTTCATGGGTATTCAAAATTTTGGCCATTTTGTGGGGGAGATGCCAGAAGGAGTGGACCGATATACTCCATCGTCACACCACATCTTTGGTTAATAAAAATATTGTGATGTGTGAAATTTGAAGACAATCGTATGCGTATATCACATTTTATAAGAGTTACAATTATTCAAAATTTTGACCTTTTGTGGGGGAGATACTTGATGGAGTGTGCCAATATTGTCCATATTCGCACCTGACCTAGCACTAATGGAAATATTAGTATTTGCAAAGTTTGAGCAAAATCGGATGATCCTTTATCTTTCTGTGCAGTAAAATATTTTCCTTGAAAATGTTGACATTTTGTGGGGGAGGTACCAAAAGGAGTTGACCAATGTTGCTCATCTACGAAATCGATCTAAGTTTGAGAATAATATTATGATGTACCAATTTAGGAACAAATCGGACCTTCAAGAGTTATCGTGCGCAACGGCCAGATAGGCAGAGGGATGGACATCCCTAAATCGACTCTAAATGTCCTGAAAGGGATTTGGTATTAGGGTCTAAAACCCTTATTTCGATGAGGTTCGTTTGGGCCGTATCAAATCATATATCCGCCATACGGCGGAGGGTATAAAAATCGACTATAAAATGATTTTAAAGAAGTTTATGATTGCAAAATATTTTGAAGAATATAAAGTTCGAAAATATTTTCAAAGAAAAGGAGTAAACTTTTTTTTGTGAAATCCAACTTTTTTAAGGGTAGAATTCGATGTCGATTATGCCATGAAGGTCCGTCTGTGTGTCAAATGTTATTTCTAAAATGTTTGACATCTGAAATGGAATACCATGTTTAAAAATATCCCCCAAATTAAGAGCACGTCCAGATTTTAGGAATTTCGATATTTTCGGACCCAAGGTCCTGTTGGTGTACAATGTATAACCATATCTTGTACTGTATATATATCTACCTTGTTTAGAAATGTAGTAGGCATTGATATGTATACATGTTTTATATGAAAAAATATATTTTTTCATTCCATTCAAGAACTTAAATAAAGCCGTTTGTTTGATATAAAACCGCTGCGTGTTTCAAACTTTCCAATAGGTCCAACCAAATGCCCTGTAATTTCACATTTTCGGTTCGTTATGGGCAAATTTATTCTCGCACAACATTTTCAATTTTGGTCCAGTTTTTTTTGGTATAGCCAATATAAAACTGATTTTCGTTACTATTAAGACTTTGACTCAAATTTTTTCGGGGTCTTAGTTGGTAGATTTTGTTCTCGTAATTTACACCATACCTGGGATGTTTGGTATTCAATAGCAATACCAAACCATATTGGTCCACATTTAGTCCACCAGCTCTGGTACGATACTTGGGGTATTCTGTAACAATTTTCAAATAGATGAGCTTTAATTTGATTAAATGCTCTGTGGGTAGATTTGCTGCTTCGAAAAAATAATCATAGCAGATACACTTTTTTCTTTAAATAAAAAATCTTTTTTTCCTTAAAGCCACAATTATGATCCATTTAAAAATTCCGGTCGGTTTTATGAGGAAGGAAATTTAAGCTGAAATCATATAAATATCATTATCCCTGTACGTTTTTTTGCCTACTCATTTTTTCAACGAAATTTAATTACTTTATTATTAAAAAATTCTCAGTAACACATAATTTTCAATATCATGTAAAACATTGAATTGACCCCTCAATTCAGCTGATCCCACAATATATCAATATCGCCATCACTTTACAGGCCATTGATTGCAGTGGCTCTGCCCAATGGATAGCTAGTTGCTTTCCAATCATCAGCATCAGCATCATCATCATTCCCTCAATTCTTTCGACACAATTTCTCCAATTCATTGCCTCATTCTTATTTTCATCGGTTTGTTGTTTGCTTATTTCGTTCTGTTTCGTTTCGTTTCATTTCAGCGCCAAAGGATAAATTCAATTTCAATGTCCGTTTAAATTTGATTTCCTCCCAGACATTCGTTCAATGCGGTCAATTCCTGGATCTCTGCTATTCGACACGTTCATTAGCTGTTAAAGTCGATCCATCGGGGCTACAGCCGGGCGTGCATACAGCTGTGTAAGTATTATCAAAACGATTTGCATGAACATACATACATACATGGACGAATGCATGCATATATTTGTCGTGGGGGATTTTGTAAAACGGGCAACCGAATTTAACGTGAAGGTGTAAGTCTATATGGAAAACCGATAAAATTCGGCAATTTAAAGAGGGTATTTTAATTCGACGAGTTTCAGGTTGGAGTACTTTATATACGATTTTTGACGATTAGAAGCAGGAAGGGTTTTCAGACGAGCTAAAACAAAAGACGTTGTTTTAGACGAGGTGAATCGGGTAATATTTAGAGGCGAATTGTTTTAGAGGAGCTAAAGCTGTGAGTGTTTTTCGACCAGACAAAAATCGCATAATTTTATAAGAACTGCAATAGGGAGTCTTATTTAGGCGAATTGAAGCAGCGAATCCTTTTTGGACGAGCTGCAGGAGGAGTCGTTTTTAGAAGAACTGAGACAGCCAATCTTTTTTGTGGACGATCTAAAGCAGAGGGTTATTTTTTGAAAAGCTAAAGAAGGAAGTATATTTTAGACGAGCTGAACCAGGGATTCTTTTTTTAGGACTAGCTGAAGCAGCGAGTCTTTTTTAGACGGGCTGTAAAGCATTGTCTCTTCTCTATAAGAGCTGAAACAGGGAGTAGTTTTTAGGCGAGCTGCCGCAGGGAGTCTGTTTCTATAGACGAGCTGCCGCTGGGAGTCTGTTTCTATAGACGAGCTGCCGCTGGGAGTCTGTTTCTATAGACGAGCTGCCGCAGGGAGTCTTTTCCTATAGACGAGCTGCCGCAGGGAGTCTTTTCCTATAGACGAGCTGCCGCAGGGAGTCTTTTCCTATAGACGAGCTGCCGCAGGGAGTCTTTTCCTATAGACGAGCTGCCGCAGGGAGTCTTTTCCTATAGACGAGCTGCCGCAGGGAGTCTTTTCCTATAGACGAGCTGCCGCAGGGAGTCTTTTCCTATAGACGAGCTGCCGCAGGGAGTCTTTTCCTATAGACGAGCTGCCGCAGGGAGTCTTTTCCTATAGACGAGCTGCCGCAGGGAGTCTTTTCCTATAGACGAGCTGCCGCAGGGAGTCTTTTCCTATAGACGAGCTGCCGCAGGGAGTCTTTTTCCATAGACGAGCTGCCGCAGGGAGTCTTTTTCCATAGACGAGCTGCCGCAGGGAGTCTTTTTCTATAGACGAGCTGCCGCAGGGAGTCTTTTTCTATAGACGAGCTGCCGCAGGGAGTCTTTTTCTATAGACGAGCTGCCGCAGGGAGCCTTTTTCTATAGACAAGCTGCCGCAGGGAGCCTTTTTCTATAGACGAGCTGCCGCAGGGAGCCTTATTCTATAGACGTGCTGCAGCAGGGAGTCTTTTTTATAGACGAGCTGTAGCAGGGAGTCTCTTCTTATTGACGAGCTGCCGCAGAAAGTTTTTTTCATAGACGAGCTGCCGGAGGGAGTCTTTTCTTATTGACGAGTTGCAGCAGGGAGTCTTTTCTTATTGACCAGCTGCAGTAGGGAGGTTTTTTCAGACTAGCTGAAGCAGGGAGTATTTTACAGACAAGATGATGAGGAGCCACCTTCAGTCGAGATAAAGTATTTAGTCTTTTTTATACGATCTGAAGCAGCGAGGTTATTTTTAGGAGTCTACTTTCAGACGATCTAAATCAGTGAATTTGGGACCAAACATACAATTTGACGCAGAAAGTCTCTCCTAGAAGAGGGAGTTCTTTTGGCAGTTTTGAAGGAGGGAGTCCCTTCGCAGACAAGCTATAGTAGCTTCTGGGAGTCTTTTAGTTGAGCTGAGAAACGGGTCGTTTTTAGACGAGCTAAAGCAGATAGGCTTTGTTTTTGACGCAATTAACAGACAGTGTCCTTTTTTGGACGTCTATAGAGGCCTACTGAATGGCTTATTTTTATAAACGAATTTCTCTTTATAGAAGACTTTTTGAAGTTCTCTCTATGAAAGATATTTGTGAAGTTCTTCTCTTTTGAAAATGCCATTTTCGCTCTTTAGGAGACTTCTTGACTATCTTCTCTCCATAGAAGATCTATTGAAGGACCTCGCTCTATAGAATACCTATTGTAGGTCTTCATTCTGTAGAATACTCGTTGACTGCGTTCTTGTTTAAGGTGTTATAACTGCAGATCTTTCCTTTATAGAATACCTGTGAATGATCTTTTCTCTTTAAGATACGAAAGTCTTCTCTTTACCAAAGGCCAGTCAAAAATCTTCCATCTATAAAAGATCTGTCAAAAGTTTTCCTTTTCCTGTCCAGGATCTTTTTTTGTGATAAAAAATTTCGCCTAATAGAAATTCTAATAAAACCGTTCTCTCTTTGTAAGACCTATCGAACATATTTTGTCTACAGACGATCTGTTCAAGGTTTTTACCTACAGAGGCCTATTAGCAGTATTCTATCAGGAGGGGGTCTTCTATATACACCTTATGGGTCTTCTGCATAAACATATTAGAGGTATTAAGTAAATTCTTTGCCTTCACCAGGTATTTCATCTATTGAAAACCTTTATGAGGCCCTCTATCTCTTAAATACTCTCCAAAAGTCTAGACGACATATGAAATATTTCCTATGGATAGAGGCCATCCATGTATTGGAGTTGGTCCAATCTTGTTTGATCGAACGGTCGTTTGTATGAAAACTCTGCGTGTGAGTGATGTGAAATCAGTCATACGTTTAGGAACTGGTGTACTGACGTGTGAACTAGCTTGACACAACTCTACCATGCATATTGGACCCGCAAAAGGACTTCAATTTTTAGAAGACCTAAGGAAGTATGGAAGAGCGATTTTAGAGCGCTGATTTTAAGTCTCTAAAGATATAGGTCTTTTTTGGGGTTGGAGATCTCTTAAAGACGTTCTACAGGGTGAGATAAAAAAACTGCAACAAAGTCAAACGCCATAATTTTTATATTTTCCAATCTTGCTTTCCAAAATACTCCAGACACATTAGTCCAACGGATTGGTATCCAGAGATTTTGGTGGCCATTGTGCGCTGGAAATGAAGCGAGGAACCTAATTTTGTAACCATTCTTTGGTGGCGCGTGCTAAGTGCGATGGTGCTGAGTCCTGTTGGAATGTCCAAGGTCTGTGGCCAAAATGGTTCGTGTCCAAGGCTTTAATACACCCTCCAGAATATTTTCGCGATAGTATTCGACATTTATTCTGATACCACCACGGTCGATTAATACGAGCAGAGAGCGAACATCGGCTGTTATGGTGGCCCACACCATCACCATGGCCGGCGCTTGAGTTCTTGTGGCCAACCGAAGGAGCACATTTATCCACATTTAAATGCTGGAGTGCTCTAACGATAGCCACTTGTGGTTTTCCAGCCAAATATAAAGAAATCACACTATCACGAAAAACTTTTTTTCTGGAAAAATCTCCGCAAAATGTTTGTGTACGCTTGTAAACAATATAATTAGCTGTCACTGGAATAATTTTAACAGCTGTCGGACGAGTGGCTTAGAAATGACAGCAGTCTGAAATTGGTTGCACTTTTTATCTTCTCACCCTGAATATAGAAAACTTATCAGAGGTATTAAGTAAATTCCAGGCCTTTTCCAGGCATATAATCTTTTGAAAGCGTTCTCTTAAATTCTCTCTAAAGGTCTTGAAGACATTTACGATGTTTACCGCAGATAGAGGCCATCCATGTATTGACGTTGTCCTAACTTTGTTTGATCGAACGAACTAGTTGCGTGATTAATTCCATAGACTCCGGTCGTTTGTATGAAAACTCTGCGTGTGCGTTATGTGATTTTATATCACTCATACGTTTAGGACCTGGTGTACTGAGCCATGAACTAGATCTCTACCAAAAGGACTTCTTTTTTAGAAGATCTGAGTGAGGAAGAACGAGTTTAGAGCGCTGATATGAAATATCTAAGGTATAGGTATTTTTTTTGGTTAGGAGGCCTCTGAAAGACGTTTTTTGTCCAAGGGGTCCGTAATGGGCCTTCTGTGGATAAAATTTATATCCAATATAGGGATAAAAAACTTCTCTATTAACATGACCTATTTAAGCTCTCTATACCAACGAGATTTTTCGACTCTCACACATAGAAGACATATGGAAGGCCTATAGAAGTTCAGTTACATATAGACAATTTATAGAGGATCTAATTTAATTTCCTTTACAACCACCCTCTACTGTACCACCTACTCCAGCCTACCCTCTCCTTATGATGAACCTTCCTCAATTTAATTTTTGGCTTGAATTCAAATTGAATGAATAGATTTGATGTTTATGGTTGGATGGAAGGATGCATGGATGTTTAAGTCAATAACATATGTATGTATGTCTGTCTGTAAGTCAATGGCTGAACAACACTTGAGAATGCTGTTTAATGACAATTAGGATGCTTGAGAAGAACAACAAGAAAAACAAGAACAAGAATGTCATTCAATTAATTAAAAGTTCAGTGTTAACATTCCCATTCAAAATGTCTTCTTATTTAAATAATATTTATAAAACATTTCTACATACGCACACACACACGCATACACATGTTCTACAATACTAATACACTCATGCATTCAATAATGAACTTAAAAACTACAGGCACATAAGAAAGGCGAAAGAAAGAAGAAATTCCTTTTTGCGTTTTGAATTAAGCGTTTCTTCTTGCTCTCACTCTCACTCTCTCCCTTCATAGATGTATAGGCCTGGTATATCCATCAAGTGTGTGTGTGTGCACCACATTATTAAATGTATTTGTATTCATATTCAAATGCAAATACCTGAGCTTGGAGTATTTGCATGTATGTCGCCGTTGTCTGACACACATACTTATGTATGTGTGTGTATGTATGTACGATTGTTGGTTTTGTATAACAACTTTTAATTGAAATATATTCATATTCATAAAATATAATTCACACTCAAGTTAAGTTTTCTATACCGAGAGGCAGAGAGAGAGAGAGAGGGAGAAGAAGAGGAAGTGGGGAAGAGAGTATGGTGGGAAAAAGGAGATGAAAGCTTCCTTAATGCACAAGTGCTA